CTTCTCAGTTCACTTTTTAAAATAAGAATTTAGTGAGAATTTTCTCTGTATTAGACACTAAATTAGGGATAAGTTTTTGCCAGAAAAATTTACTTATACGTAAAATAGCATAGGAGCTGGTTTAATGTGACATTAGAGGAGCTCCCCCCCAAATTATTTGTTTTTTAGGGAAAAAATACAACAAGCAATTACACTATTTAATTATCATTTAAAACAGAAAAATTTGCATAATTCTCCATTGCCTGTTTCTGTTTGAAAATATTAATTGGGAGGCCATTAGGCAGAGAGTGTGTCAGTATCCTGAGTTCCTTATTGTTAAATCAAAGGCCATTGTACACAATGCAACCTAAGTGTAACCACAGAAACCACCAGCTAACAGCTAGTAGGGACTTCCCATTGAAATCCTATATCTTTTCCGTTTGTCTTGTCCACCTCTCTCAGCCTCGCTCCCTGGGAAGTGATGAACTGCTTACCGTCTGGAGATGCTCAAATTCCCTTCAGAAATTTTAGTGTGCCTAAGTTTACTTTTCAGTATTTCCAACACAAAACATCTCTAAGCAAATCAGTATTCAGGATTTCAACCAGGATTTCAAGAACTAGTTGAGAGCTATGCATCTAGAATAAGTATTGTTCAAACTACCAACAATATCAGTAAGGGGGTAAATGGCATTTTCACAGGCCTTCTGTCTTACTTAATGATGAAACTGCTTCTGGTACCGAATAATGGAAATCAGAGTGGGAAAAGGTTTGGTGCAAGAGTGAGTGGGTACAATTGCTTTTCTTCCATTACACAGATAGTTGGCAAAGCTGCTGTCATGTGCCAGGTACCGCTCTTGGAAGGGTTAGGGAGGAAATTAAGGGTCTTTCTCAGGAGCATAGACGTGAAGTGTGTACATTGGGCAAACTTTTACCTCAAGGAAATCAGCGTCCATCTCTGTTATACCCTGTTCTTTGGAAACCCCTTGCACCACACCAAAAATAACTGTTCTATCTTGGATCCCTCACCAGTTTCTATTTAAAAAGCTCCAGCTTACTGTATTGAGCCTGAGCATTACTCCAGAGAACAGTAAGGAATGAGAACCACTGGAAACCCTGAATGAGTTTTTCTCTGCGAAGACAGTGATGAGTGGAATGCAAGGCAGATGGGTAAGATGAGGGAGGCTTCTTAGAAAGCATGAGCTGTGGAAGTATCTGAAGTGAAAGTGAACCATCCCAAATTTGCAGGACTAGGTCGTGCTCTTTTATCCCACAGACGGATAACCAATTCCGTAGCATTCTAATTGCAGACCAGTTTGAGGGGGAGTTAGTTGCTTCAGAACAAAGGCCTCTGCCTGGCGAATGTTCCTTGACAAGCACAGGCAAACTCAGAAAATGTAGAATCATGCTGGCATTGACTTTTTCTTCAGGTCAGATTGCAGACATTTTTAAATCCTGTCTAAATCAGGAAAACAGTACTATGGAGAATTCAAGGATGGGAAGAATTTGGCTCAATACTACCATTTGCTGAGTTTCAGACTCTCTAACCTATACACTGAAACAAGAGTCTTCCAAGGAGCAAGCAAATGGAATTACATGTACTTTTGTTGACATTCTCTGTCAGTCTTCAATATAGATAGTAGGCTTTTAAGGTAATCAAAGCATGATAATAAAACTTCAAATTATGTTCAGATCATGATACACACACACACAAATATACAGTCTGTTGTTAAAATGATGGTGGTAAGGTAGGATAACAAAAACTATGTTCAGTCTTGCTGCATTTTTCACAACTGTGGTTTTGGTCTATCACATTAAATCTATATTTATTTGTGCTTACACATGTATTACATTTTAGTAGAATGAAAAAATGTAATTATTGGGCTTAGAATATACTAAAACTATCTTTTATAAAAATAGTGTTAATTTTTAACTTAATTTCTGGAGTTGTTTGTTTGTTTATAACAACAAACAAAAAACAGGGTTTCACTATGTAGCCCTGGCTGGTCTGGAACTTGCTATGTAGACCAGGCTTGGCTCTAACTCACAGAGATCCACCTGCCTCTGTCACTGTTTCCTGAATGCTGGAAACAAAGGCATGCTCCACTATCCCCGGCTGAAGGTTAATATTTTAAATAATTCACAATCTATGTGAACGTGGAGTCCATTAGAAAACACTGCCTACTGTCACATGAAGATTTATGTCCCTGATCAAACCACACTTCTCGTAGCCCTCATCTTTCTTTATTATGTTTTGTTTTGCTTTTTTTGTACTAGAGATTGAATTTAGGGCTTTGCTAGGCAAACACTGAGCTACATCCCCAAGTAGTGCTGGCTCTCCCCCAAACACCTGTGTGTGTGTTGTTGTTGTTGTCGTCGTCGTTGTTATTATTGTAGTTGTTTTGTGTGCAAGATCTCACTCCATAGCCCAGGCTGGCTTGAAACTCACTATGTAGCCCAGACTAGCCACAAGCTTGTGTTTCTCCTGCCTTGGCCTCTCAAGTGCTGGAGTTATGGGCATGAGCCACTGCACCTGACCAGAAAAGGCTCAACTTGTACTAAAAGGGTAAGAGGGGCAGACAGAAGGGGGACTTCTTTTTGAGCACTTTGTCAAACAGGTTGTGCCCTTCAGAGTGTGTGCAGTGTAACCCTGACACACCCTGTACTCACCCTGAAGACAGCACAGGGTTGCTCCACTTTGAAGAGGTGAGAATATTCCATGCTGTGCAAGTGCTCAGAGACACATTTGTTTCACAGCAGAGTCATCTTGGGAGCAAGTCCCTAAGGCTATGGAGTCCAGGGCATGGGGTCAAATCAGTTTCAAGGAATAGCTCTGATGCAATGGGAGTGCAGTAGAAGTCTGTAAGAAAGATTTGCAACCTCAGAAACTTCACTGGCGAGTACAGTGTGGTGTTTATGGGCTCAATTTCTGTCACTATCTCTCCTTTTCCCTCTCACTGCCCTCCAGAGTACTTCTTGGGCACAAAACTAAGGACAGAAAAATCTTAAGGCAGAGATAACAGTTCTTTAAGGTTGGGTCAATCTTAGGCAAGCTTTCTGAGCATGTGACATGGGTGATTACAAAGGGTCTTTCACTTTTAAGCACTAGAACTTGTTTGGTGCTCTGTTGATTTGAAATTCTTACTGCTTTTTGAAGGTTTCCATTTATTTGTGAATATGCAGGTCTTCTACCCAAAGCTGTAAAGTGTTTCTTAGCACAGGAGCATTCTATATGTCTCTCATCTTACTGTGCTCTTAGCAATAAGAGACTGGTGATGATAAGGCTGAAGCAAAATGACCCAGTTTTAATAGAAATTAAATTCTCTATGTACCATGGGGTTTCTAGGATACCCATTTCTGCTTTCCATCTGGGCTGACCAGAATATTTTGAGATAGTAAAATATAGTTTCCTAGACATTTACTATTAGACATCAGTGTAGTTATAAGGGTTTACTGTAGGGTCTTTTATTTTTATTTTTTATCAGATTAGAAAACCTGTAAACAAACTAATGTGTTGGATCACAGGCTCGTGTTAGTACAAAGGTTGGTACCAACCCTTCATGACAGTGGAGATGGCGAGGGTACCTGCATTGTCCCTCTCTCTCTAACACATAGTTAAAAAGCTAGCTGATAGTTAATTCCTGCTAAATTGTTACCTGGTATAACCTAAGGTATTACATTATCACCTGGGGTTAATGTAAGATGGGATTTGTTACTTAACTGCCACAAATCTTAAAGACACAAGGACCCGAATTTCTCCCACAGCCATGGTATGTGTGACTACACTGGAAAATGGCTGCCGCAGTATCTGACTGTTGTGTCTGTTTACTTAAGAACTTCTGTAGCCACTTGTGGCCAGAGAGGCAAGCGTCCCATTGCTGATCTTAGTTCATGCTGGACTTTCATTATCCAATAGCTTATCCGTACTGGTGACACAGACCTTTCCATGCTGTCCCATTTACTGCAGATGTAGTGCACTTTAGATACTTCTCCCAAGCCCCTTCTTGGCTTTACTTTGGAAGTGTCTGAGAAGGCAGAATGTCAAGCTTGTATCACCTACCCATCTAGCCAGCAGCTGTGATCTGTCTGCTCTGCCTCCTGTCTCTCTGTGTCAATCACCGTCCTGTTTAGGGTCTCTGGACCCCATCTCCACTCACATGCTCAAGAGCAGCACTCAAGCCATGCCCCTCCCCCCTTGGAGATCATGCCATTTCTTTCTCAATCCCACTTCTTGCTCAGCTGACTGGATTTCAGTTTCTCTTCAAATCAGAAAAGCCTGGAAAGCATACCTGCTTTGCTCTCCGAGTGCCTTGGTCTGTTTTCACCAAGCTCTTGTCTGTTATCACTCTACCAAAATGTTCCTGGTGAAGCTCGCTGGTATACTTCCTGTTTGCTCATTTCAGTGGTTTATTCTAGACCTGCTTTCCCATCTCTCAGCCACTTTAATCACACTTCCTTGTTCCTTTCTCATGGTGCCTCTGGGGGACATTTGGGTCTTTGTGTCTTTCATATGTTAACACCAACTGATAATTTAACTTCAGGTCAGATAACGGCAGGGATTTAATTTTGCTTTCTATGAGTTGCCTCTTAATAGTCATTGTAAAGCATACATTCAGGATTTGTTTGTAGCAAGAAAGTAGTCTCCAAATTGGCATGAATAATTTCTTACATTTATTCTACTTTTTAGTCACATTAAAGAACTTCACATGTAAAAGAAATAATTGCCCTCCCCCCAACAGTGGAACTTACATTTGTCAGAGATTGTCAAAAAAAATATTCTAGAAATGGGTTTGTGGACAGTGGCAATATGCTCTTATGCTGAGAACGTTTGCTAACTGCTTCTCCTGGACAAACAGGACAAGACGGCATGGGTGAGAAAATGTTGGAGAATGCAAAATCACATTCTCCCAATTCCAGTGCAGAAAAGGGGAAAACTGTCCATTACTATTCATCTTCCTATCCCATCATAACAGCAAGGAATATGAGAAAATTTGTAAATTTTATTAACAATGCAGAAGTTAAAGTGAATCAACAGCTGGCAGTGCATCTGGACTCTGAATTTAAGTTATAAAAATATCAGTGTGCTAACTTGCCTGGGGAATGATGAAGTCTTTTTCATAGTAACTGCACAACTTCAGGTTTTGATGTCATTTGTTACAATGTTGTCTGGAATTCCCAAACTGTTTCAGGGGTGATTTAGACAGGCATGGACTTGACATTTGATAGTAGTTGGGTAACCGGATATCATAGTGATGTTTTTTCCCTGTATATACCCTGTCATTCAGGGCATAGAGTTTATCTGCGATGTCACTGCCAATTAAAACGGAAAATAGGCGGGAGATGTAGCGGTGCTGAGCGAAGAGCAGGTATAATTTTTTTCTCCTCCAAGACACATACCGACAATCAGTTTCTGCTGTGAGGGTTACCTAAAAAAATGAAGACACATAAAACAAACTAGACAGCAAGAGATTCAAACACAGTTCTTAAAGATTTATTTTTATCTCTATGAGTGTTTGACTTCCATGTGTGTATGCACTGCACATGTGTGCAGTGTCCACAGAGGCCAGAAAATGGCACCAGATACCCTGGAACTGGAGTTACAGATGGTAAAAGATGTCATGTGGGTGCTGGGAACTGAACCCATGATTTCTGTAAGAGCAGCCAGCACTATTAATCACTGAGCCATCTCTCCACCTCCTTCAATCACATTCTTCTGCCCCAAATTCTAATTGAATTTCTTACTGTCCTCTTAGGTTAAGAAGTATTGTAAAAACTTAAGATATTAAATACTAAAATAAACTACATCATTTATTTCTTATCTAATTACAATGCTTGTACACATGCTCCTCTCAATTATGTCTTGTATTTTGCAGAGCTACTTGATAGGAAAATGAAAGAGTTAAGCTGGCTAATACCAGAGAAAGATTTTTTTCAACCCTAACACAGTTTCTCTAGTAAATATGGAATACAAATACTATTTTTACATATTTACATGTATATGCATGTTTTGCTTTATAGGAAACAGTATAGCATAATAAATAGGACCAACTGAAATGATTGTCTAACACTACCAATACATGACAGACAGAAGTGACAGCAAATTTAGAAATAACTGAAGCCCATCAAGCATTTTAAAATTTTCAAAAGCCATTTATTTTGTAGTAAGTGCAATTTCTTCTCTTGGCACTTTCTAAACTATCACACCACTACAGTGTTTAAGGTCAGATCTTAGTTATTACATATTAATTCCCAGATATGAGGTTCAACACAAGAAACCTAGAGAGTATTCATCAGACTCCTTCCTGCCGCTTCTGTCCCCTTTTCTTTGTGACTGCGCTATCAGTCAGCAGGACTCAGAACTGGAAAGTGTGCACGAAGCAAATTGTATCCCAAAGTTAAATATAAATTAAAGCTGTGTTATGTGTTGTTCTATGTGTATGCCTGCTTGCCTTAAAACTAAGATTCATCTGTTCAGAAGGCTGGGGTGTTAAGTATGTAGCCTATTTAGCCCTCACCTGAAAAATGCCTTCCTCTGTGGGTCGTAGTGAATCCCACTCCGGAGAATCCAGGAACTGAAAAGGGAAGATGTAATGCAGAAATTCGCCATCCACTGTCACTCTGACCCTAGCGAGACACAAGGACATTTTTTATGAGGGGACAAGAAAGTGTACACATTTGAGGTTATATTGTGGACAGATGTCCTTCAGCCTCTGGTGACTTCTTCCTGTTGATTTTTGAAGAACAAAATACTGAGTTCATATACTACCTTAGTGCCCCCATGAGATTTGTGCACAGCTACTCCTTGTTTAGGCATCTGGAACAGTAGTAGTAGGTGACATTCACCACAGAGTCACATGTATGAGATAAGTCCAGTCCATATGTACATTGTGCTTTAGCACAAGATGTGAGTGTACTCAGATTTTCTGACTATGTGGGAGAGGGTTTTAGAGCATAGTGGAGATCTGCTACAAGCACCTCTGTGAGTTTCATCTTTTCAATTACATGAAAAACATATTATTGTTTGCCCCCTTACACTTTTCCAAGTTTAGAGTCTATATATACAGACTCTTGGAGACTTCACTCCCATTTCACACAAGGGGGCAAATGCTAAAATTTACTAAATAAATTTGATAATATAAAACTCAAAGTTGGCAGTTATGTAAAAGAATGACAGTAGAGTCTACCTAAAATACTTTGTGTACCAATGAAGGTTCTATTAATTCAAGCTGCCTCATCCTCCCTGACATCCAATGGCTAGCTACAATGCAGCTACTACAACCACAGAACTAAATTCATGCAACATTGCATCTGTGCATGCTTGTGAACTTTATTTCTAAAATGGAAAAGTAGCATTCTTGGTTATTTCCTCGTTCAAGTAAACAATACCATGTTCTCTAAATGCCATACCTATGATTCAAGTCTCAAATATTTCTCCAAGTCTCAGGGTACTAAATGCCACTCAAGACTATGCTGCACCAAGATGGACAAACATAGAGCAAAGAAACACAGACCACTACTATAGAGAAAAGACATGTAGCACAGAGGGTACAAACCTTCCTGAGACAAGCATGGAGAGTCTATCAATGGAGGTTTTCCCTTGCATGGCGTAACAGTGCTCCTTTTCCAAAGTTACCACTTCAGAGCTCAGAGCGATTGTTCTGAAGACAGGCAGAGGGATCCCGAGGGGCTTGAAAATGGAGCTGTACAGCACCTGGAATTCTCGGGCAAACGTTATGCTGTGAACTTGATATGCAATGTGAACAAACTGCATGAAGCAGATGACAAACAGCACAAAATTCCAGGAAAATATGTCAGCAGCACAGACGTCTATCCATGCCCAGACTGCAGAACACAGGAAACCCAGCCCCAGCAAGCTGAAGACATAAAGGAGCCCGAAGAACCCACTGCCGCCCATAAAACCTACTACAAACAAGATACTGGCAAGGTGGTAAATGGCACCCTCAGCCTCTTGCTTCCAGGCTGTGCAGACTGGGTGTTCACCCACAAGGCTCTTCCACAAACTTGAATTCTTTTCCATGGTTCCACTATCTGGTTTTTTGTTCAGTTCACTTCAGCTGACACTGAAGCCAGCACTGGAGTCCTTCGCTTTGCCATCACTGAACATTGCTCCTCACAGGCCAGGAGCTGTTATGACGAGGGGTTTAGTGGGCATGGAGCCGGAAATCTACCAATTCAGCACCAGTGTCTATAAGCTCATCTGGGCTCTTGATTAGACCAAGTCCTCAAAGATGACGCTGTTGCCTGTGTAAGAGTAAAAGAACAGAGGATCTAATTCAGCAAAAAGAATGAATAGTGCTTTATTTAATGAATCAATATGCAAATTGACTTCCTATTATTATGAAATCAGGATGTTTTAGGCACAAATATTAATTAAATTTCTAATGACAGCATATTTACTAAAATTTGCTAGCTACTTCTTTTTTATTTATGTATTTTTCTTTTATGTGCATTGGTGTTTGTGTATCCCATGTAACTGGAGCTATAGACAGTTCTGAGATGCTATGTGGGTGCTGAGAATTGAACCTGGATCCTCGGGAAGAGCAGACAGTGCTCTTAACCATTGAGCCATTTTTCCAGCCCTGGCTAGCTATTTCTTTTTAAGGGTGTTCAGGTTAGTTTTTGACACCAACTAGAGTCACCTGAGGAGGAAACTCAATTGATTAACTGCCTCCATCAGACTGTGGAAAGCAACTTTGTGGGGGCATTTTCTTGGTTAATGATTGATGTGTAAGGGCCCAGCCCACTGTGGATGGTACCAGCCCTGGACAGGTGGTCCAGAGTTATATGAAAAAGCAAATTCAGTAAGTCATGGAGAACAAGTCACTACTATATTCCCCATAGTCTCTGCTTCAGCTCTTGCCTCTTGGTTCCTGCCTTGAGCTTCAGACTTGACTTCCTTCTATGATGGAATAATTTGTAAGACGCAATAAGCCCTTTCATCTCAAGTCAGTGTTAGTCACACAACAGACAGCAAACTAGGACACAGGGTAACTAAATCCTTTATAGTCAGCTAGTCTCCACAGCAGTAGGACAGTGTAACTCAGAATCACATAACATATTGACTAAAAATGGAGAGCCACAGATTTCCCCCATACTAAATATATTACATATATTAAATAAGGATCACTGAGGGCAGTTCCTAGAGATGTGTATTTTGAACACACTATTTACAGTTTATAGATGAAAAACACTGGGGCTCTGAGAAGCCAGGAATATATCCAAGCTACACAATGGTCAAAGCAGAGCAGGCTTCAGTAACAATGCCCTCTGCTGGATCCAATCACAGCAACTTTCATGGAAGATGGTTTAAACTTGACTTTATAAGGACCCCAAACAAATCAGGAAACAGGAAACACATGGTCAAGAGACAGATCTTTAAGAAAATGTTTAATAAGTTAGATTCAGACAATTTAAGAAAACACATAGTATAGTACAGTTTAATTTGTCTCTATTAGAGGTTCAGGTTAACATTAAATCCATATAAATAACATACTTATTAATTCCTGTTAAGCATTTACCAGATGGTCAACAATATTATTGACTGTGCACCTCTGCTCATATATTCTCTACTCTTTCAAGCATGTGGTAAAAATGCTAACGTGGGACCTGGGTATGGAGAGAAGTAGGTATGATGATGGAGGTCCAGGATGGAGGTCCAGGATCCATGCATCCTCCACCACACCACTTCCTCACTGTCAAGTGCCCTTCAGGCTCAATCGGAAGGAACAGGAACACTAGAAGCAAAGACCTCAAATGTGGATGCTGTATATTTACTGTATTCCAGACAGCTCGTGTCTCAGAGGGAAAAATAAAACTCCACACGTTAGTGAGCATGTCTCACTGAGTGGGAAGACACAGGCCATCAGTCAGAACCAGAAACTGAAATGAAGGTGCTCCTGCTTGGTACTTGTCATTCATGAACCTTTTCTTAAGCATCGGGAGCCCTGCTGGGTGAATCAGAAAGGAGATGGAAGGGGAGAAAGAGGGAAGGGACAGAGGGCTTAAATACACAACTGAGCATGCTACTGCCATTTTTACTTGTTTTAAAAGACACTTCAATCATTTTGCAGACCCCTAACTGCAGTCAGTCTGTGAGACACAAGCTGACCAGCATTCTGAGCATGCTCAGTTTCTGCTCTTGGAAAACAACACACAAAATTCTTTTGTACGAGACTGCCACATCAAAGAACAGCTCTTACAAATGCAAGGATGAGTGAGAACTGCAAATACCAGCCAGCAAATGTCACTCCTGCTGTTTTACTTTTAAAACTGGGGCATTCTAACCAATCAATTCGTCAGGATACTCAGCACAGCCACGAAAACCAATATGAAAAGAATTGCTAGTAGGTCTCTGAACTTTGGTTTGAACTTACTTAAAAATTTATAATCCTCATCGAAATGTTAAGATGATGTTGATAAGAGAAAGACCACATAATTGGTGATTCAGAAGGGAGCACAGGGGAATGGTCCCTTAAAATGCTTGATTTGGAGGGTATGTCAGGGCCTCTGTGTTCGGGAAGTGTGATCCAGGGTGGTTCTCAGAGGAGCTGTGCTTCTGGGCTGCTTCTGTTGCACTGAAGTTGCTCGCAGACCATTCTGGACACAGTATTGCTGAATCTTGTTGACTTGCCCTGATTGAATTACTCCACACCCAGCCTGGTGTGTTTGTATCCAGTCACCACAACAGATGTGCTTTATTAGAAGAGGAAGAACTGACAGCGGCAGGTGATGGCCAGGAAAGGGCCTCTGCCATGTGTCACGATCACTCTGATGGCTGAACATGATTCATCCGCCAGCTGCCTGCCTCACAGACCCCCAGGCCTGGTCATTTTTGTGTGTAAATAACTGCTGAGATATGCCCAAGCAGCAAAATAGACATCTTCCTCAAGCAGTAACTGATCTTGCCCACTGAGCTACAAATGATGGAGACAAAGACCAGAAAACTAACACAGCACTTCCAAGTTTATACAGCTTTATCCCTAAACCTTTAAGACTGAATTATAAAGGAATAAGATGCATTCCATGATAAAAAACATACTCAGTGGCAGGCAGCATAGCTAGTTGCATACTGATGAAGATGAGCCCAGAACTGTGCTTCACAGTTACTATCTCACTGCCCAAGAGAGGCAGGGTCTAAATAAACCATCATGCAAGCATAGGGAGAAGGGCACAGCCTGGTGAAGTCCCCAGGGACCTGGGCATAGCCTGGAGCACAGTCTGTCAAGTCCCTGGCTACAGGTGAAAGAGTAGTTAGTCCCATCCTGAAGCATGGGTGCTCAAGTGCCCCTCTGGCTAGCTTCGCTCTGGCCAGGACTCAAAGCTTTTGATCAGATAGTGTGAAAGCGCTGGGCAACACCTCTCAGTGGATGTTTAAGACCTGATGTATCTGCTTGTACTGCTCAGATCACAACAGTCCACTTCTGACACACAAACAGCCTCTCATAAAACCATTCGCTGTACTATTTGATGCTGACTGATTCTTCCACTAGGATCTAAAATTGAAAGAGAAGCAGGGCCAGAGACATATGTTATTGTGTGCCTGACCCCTGGCATTCAGTGGCTGTTGGTTGAATATGCTGAGATATTCTACCCCTAACATGGGACAGATACAGGGGCACAGATACAGGGAAGAGCCCAAACTTGAAGATACTTCAGCACTAATATTGAAGAGTTGGGGAATCTTCCCCCCCCAACCAAAACATCTGGACCAACCCCAAATTCACAGGGAAATCCTTGGCCTACAGCCTTGAGCTGCTTAAGAACATTTAATTACTGCTTTGATAAAGACAACAGCTAGTCTGGTACCAGTGCTATTGAGTTAGTTTGGGTTGCCTAGCAACCCACAAGTTCAAAATTCCAATATTCTACTCATTAATTAAAATCAGATCCCAACTTCAGAATGTGTTGCATATGCTAACTTCTCATCTTTAGCTGTCTTTTTTGTTTCTACTTATCCTCGAGATGGTGTATTTACTGAGTACATATGTGCCAGGGAAATTTTTTAAACTATCTCACTAAATAGCCCTGTGAGGCAGGTAATTTCATCTCATTCTTACTGATGAGAATTTTGAAAGTATGAGACGGTAAATAAGTTGTCCAAGGTCATACTGCTTAGAAGTTACACATATTCTCTCCATTACTAATTTGCTTCCATTACACATCACCCACATCACTCTGCCCTCTGTTCTTGATGTGCATTTAGTCACCATCAAGCAGGGAAAACACCACCTATTCTTTCTTGTGACACCAGAACCAGTTTAGGTGGCAACTCCAGAAATCCCAACACCCAGGAGGCTGAGTCAGAGGCCAGCCTAGGTTACATAGTGGGACCTGGTCTAAAATGCAAATAGCTAATAAACCAGCAGTAGCTCCAAACAGCACCAGAGTCTCTTTATGACTTCCCCATGCATGAACTTTTGACCAGGTTTTTAGTAGTAGGTGTGAATTCCCTCCTGTTAAGCAGACCTCAGATCTAATTAGAGAGCAGCTGGCTACCCCATAACTGCAAGGCTGCTGTTGCTCCAGTGGGCACATTTTGCTGGGCTGGTCAGTATTATATCTTACAGGGTTGACAACTAGATAAGACAACTGATGACTCTTCTACCCCTGCAGCCTGCAGAGTCCCTTCCAGCACCATGAAGGGAGGAAGCTTCTAGCTCAGTTTCTGCTTAATTTTTCTGTATTCTGAAACTAAAGTGTATGGCATCTTCAGCAATAGGGTCTTGTTATCTATATCTGGGGCATAACCAAGAGCAATGGTAATAGCATGTATTATTTGAGAGGCTTCTTGGGGTCTTCCTGGTCAACAACTCAGGAACATTTGTCATATCTAGCTCTAGGATATTCTTTTAACAAGATACAGTTTCAGGAACTGCATTACCCATACATGCAGGGTATTACTGTTCCAAGTGTGTGTGTGAGTGTGTGTGTGTGTGTGTGTGTGTGTGTTCACCATTGCACATGTGTGGAAATTGGGACAACCTCAGGGCTTGGCCCTCACCTTCCTTGTTTGAAACAGAGTCCCATTGTTCTCTGCATACACCAAGCTAGCTGACCAGTGAGATCCTGGGAATTCTCATGTCTCTGCCTCCCACTTCTCTATAGGAACACTGGGTTTACAGATACACACAGATGCATCTGGCTT